GATTAATACATCCTGCAAAAAAACCCATCTAATGGTATTATTCAGCCTCCACCTCCCCAACTTTGTTGCTGTTCAGTTGCCAGTTGTATCCGACTCTTTGTGACCCTACCGACTGCAGAAAGCCAGGCCTCTCTGTCCCTCACCATCTCCCCAAGTTTGCCCAATTTCATGTCCATTGCATAGGTGAAGCCATCCAGCAATCTCATCCTCTGACACCCCCTTTTCCTTCTGCCCTCAATCTTTCCCAGCATCAGGGACTTTTCCAATGAGTCGGCTATTCACATCAGATGACCAAAATACTGGAGCTTCAGCTTTAGCATCAGTCCCTCCAACGAATGTTCAGGGTTAATTTCCCTGAAGGTTGACTGATTTGATCTCCCTGCTGTCCAAGGGACTTTCAGGAGCCCTCAAGCACCACAGTTTGAAGGCATCAACTCTTTGGCATTCTGCCTTTTTCATGGTCCGGCTCTCACAACCGTACGTGACCACTGGGAAGACCATTCGAACCTTTCTCGGCAAAGTAATGTCTCTGCTTTTCAACACACTGTCTAGGTTTGTGATAGATTTCCTGCCAAGAAGCAATTGTCCTCTGATTTCACAGCTGCAGTCACCATCCGCAGTGATCTTAGACCCCAAGTAAAGGAAATCTGTCACTACTTCTACCTTTTCACCCTCTATTTGCCATGAAGTAATGGGGCCAGATGCCATGATCTTAGTTTTTTTAATATTTACTTTTAAGCCAGCTTTTTCACTCTCCTCCTTCACCCTCAAGAGGCTCTTTAGTTCCTCTTCACTTTCTGCCATTTCCCCACCCTTACACCATCCCAATAAAAACCAACAGAGTATGTAATAGAGAAACTTCACTTAGTAGCAGTGCATAAGAGAAATATTTAGAGATCTGAGCTTAATAAGCCAACTAACGTGAAAAGATTATTAAAAGCTAATGACAGTCATGATTCTAAAACTCCATTATTACAAGTACAATGCTCAGGGCGCAGGAACTACATATTTCCACTGTACTTCAAACTGATCAGACCACATATTGCAGTGTCCTCAATTCTGGAATCACATTTATTGAGGGAAACATCCAGAGAGATAGGACAAGACTAATGAAAGCTCTGAAATTAGCCTAGAGAAACATGCTAGCCAATTCTAAATAGGTAAATGACTGTCATCACGCAAAAAGAAAAGGTAAATACGCTGCCCTGTCTGAAAGCTTCATGGAGACAGATTTTAACTCATAGTACTGTCTAACAATGCAACAATTTGTACTTAGAAACATAAAGTAAAGTTTACTGAAGATATTCATGTGTGCTGAATTACTTATCTGAATTACCCCAGCACTGTGTCTGAACAGAGCAGGAATGTTAGAAACAGGAACACCAGTTGGTTTTTCTGCTCTTTTTGCTGCTCCTTCACCTGCTCCTTCTCCTCTCTATAATCACTTCAGGGTTTCAAGGCTTACGTGAAAAGCAAGGCACACACACACTTCACTTACACCAGATAAACTGGCATCTGCTTTTCTAGACTGAAGTTCACCTTACTTTTGACCCTGGAGTGAAACCTTGCCCTCAGTCCATGCTGAGTTCCCCACGAAACTCCCCTCTATTCTGCAGTAATATTAATTCCTTGCCTCCCATGCCCCAGAAGCTCACTAATGCTACAAATGGCAATAGTTAACTTGAAATTTACCATCTACCTGAAAAGCAAATAGAAGCTATCACTTTCCCCCCTCTTTTTTCCTTTCTAACAATTGGAGGGTCAATTATATCACATATATACTATGAGTGAATGGCCTGGGTAACTAAGACAAAAATCTATAAAAGAGGTGAAGTGCTTAGAAACTGCTACAGGCCTTCTAAATGGCACCCTGGCCTCCAATGTTATTACCCTATAATTTTAGCCATTATGATCCTTTAAAAACAAGCTGGATTCATGTCACTGCCCTACTTCAGTAAACAACAATAATAACAACAACATTTACAGAGCATTTACTATGTGCCAGGCACTATTTTAAGCACTTTGATGTGTTAAGTTACCCAATACCCACAACAGTATGAAGCAGGCCCCACTTTACAGAAGAAAAAACTGTCACAATACATTAAGTAATTTGCCCAAGTCTGTACAGTAAATGACAACACTGGGATTGGAACCTAGGAACTGTGGCTCGACAGTCTACCTCTTAACCACTGGGGTTTATTTCCTCTTCTACTCTTCAATCCCTTCCCAAAATCATTTAAAATAAAATTCCTTATCATGCTCTAAAAAGCCTGGCAGGATTTAGTCCTTGCCTACCACCCATAATGTCTTCATCACACTTCTTACCTTAGTATGTACCACCCTTCCTAATCAGGCAAGCGTCCTCATCTCCACCTTCATCTTAAATCTCTACCTTCTCTCTTTCACTAAAGATGGGGAATCCTTTCCTTCCTGCATTAGGGTTCTTTGCATACAAACAACAATTTCCAGCTCAGGTTAACTTAGGTCACGGTACTTCCAAACAATTAGGCAGGAAAACCCAATCACCTCAATGAGCACTGCCAAAGGATTATCACCTGGATGTATTCATTCCAACCAGGTTTCTTGGTTTTTAATTTTGATCCTTACTGGATTCACAATTCAAAATCATGCAACAGGGAATCTAACTGATCCAGCTGGGGTCATATGCCTGACCATTTATATTTTACTAAAGGACCCTGAATAAGAATGTCTAAACAGACTGCACAGAGTAGGGGAGATACAGTTTCCCAAAAGGGAGTCAGGACACTATTTAGTAGGAAAAAAGAATATGTGCTAAACAACCCCCACCATTCCTCCCAAAGCAAATGTCCACCAACTGCCTAATGGCCTCTGCAAGGGTTATGCCTTTTCTTTGACTTGGCCCCTTTTCCTCCTTCAGGTCTAATTCAAATACCACTTTTTAAAAGAATCTTCCTTAATCATCCTCTCCAAAGTACCCTTCTCCTGGCCACCACCTATCCCTCCCACCAGCTGCCGGTATATCATATTGCCTAATTTCTTTTTGATGCTTTTTAAAAGAATTTTCTCATGTTTGCTTATTATCAATTCTCTCCATTAGATTATAGGGTCCATGAAGGTTGGGACTACATGTATTTGATCAAATACCAAAGACGAACAAGTAACAGTAGCACAATCTTTTAAAAAATGCAAATAAGATAATATTACTCTTTAGCTTAATATCCTTCAATGTTGCCCAGTAACCTTAGTCTAGAACAAAAATATCTGATGTTTACATTTGCCTCAATTAACTCCCAACTTTTGATAATTCCTAGAACATGCCAAGCTCTTTCCCAATTCAGGATCCATGCCTAGAATATTCTTCAACAGGCTCTTCACAACAATACCTGATTCTCAGCCATCACATCTCAGCTAAAGTAACACTTCCTAAAAGGAACATTTCCATCACACTACCTAAGATAGATTTTTCCCTTCTAAATTATTCTTTATCACAGGACCCCTGTGATTTCTTTCTTTCTTTCATATTTCCTAATCTGTAATGATTTCATGTACAAATCAGTTCAGTTCAGTTCAGTTGCTCAGTCATGTCCAACTCCTTGTGACCCCATGGACTGCAGCATGCTAGGCTTCCCTGTCCATCACCAACTCCTGGAGCTTACTCAAACTCATGTCTATTAAATTGGTGATGCCATCCAACCATCTCATCCTCTGTCGTTCCCTTCTCCTCCCGCCTTCAGTCTTTCCCAGCATCAGTGTCTTTTCCAATGAGCCAGTTCTTCACATTAGGTGGCCAAAGTATTGGAGTTTCAGCTTCAGCATCAGTCCTTCCAATGAATATTCAGGACTGATTTCCTTTAGGATGGACTGGGTGGATCTCACAGTCCAAGGGACTCTCAAGAGTCTTCTCCAACACCACAGCTCAAAAGCATCAATTCTTCGGCGTTCAGCTTTCTTTATAGTCCAACTCTCACACCCATACATGACTACTGGAAAAACCATAGCTTTGACTAGAGAGACCTTTGTTGGCAAAGTAATGTCTCTGCTTTTTAATATGCTGTCTAGATTGGTCATAGCTTTTCTTCCATGGAGCAAGCGTGTTTTAGTTTCATGGCTGCAATCACCATCTGCAGTGATTTTGGAGCCCAAAAAAAGAAAGTCTCTCACTGTTTACAGTACAGTGTACAAGCTTACCTTTTACAATGTACAAGCTACCTTTTACAATGTACAAGCTTACCTTTGACAATGTACACGCTTACCTTTTACAATGTATAATTGTACCTTTTATAATGTACAAGCTTACCTTTTAAAAAAACTGAAATATAATTGACCTGCAATATTATACTAGGTTCAGGACAGGTTTACTTCTTTATCACCAATCTCCCCAACTATTTATTCTTGCTTCCTGAGGGCAGAGTCTATCTGTATCATCACTCCAAACCCTAATACAGTACCCGGAATCAAGTCAGTGCTCAAGTGTCTTTAGAGGAAGAAGGAGAGAAGGAAAAAAGTGATGCTTTCTAAGAGAAATTTTCTTTAGAAGAAAATTTAACTAGTACATCCAAAGTAAGATATTTCTATAGCTACAACCCTCTAGCCTTCCCTCCAAAACAAGATGGAACAGAAAATAAGTATGTTAATTTTGTCACAATTTACTTTGCTAGCTAATGAAAAAGAAAAAAGAGCTTTGAAGGCTCTTAAGAGAAATGTGAAGGGCTGAAGTAGGAAAGGATATTTAGAAATAGTTTTAAGGCTAACATCAAGCCTGGGCATATATTTACTTCCTTAGGAATAAATGGAAACTATCAGAACATTGAACACAACTCAGGATCAAAGAGCAAACGGCACTGAAATCCATACTTTAACCTTCCCCTCAATTGGGTCTTCAACCATTTACTACAGTATCATATTTACACACTCAGTATGTGTCAAATGAGGGTGTAACTCTCAGTCTTGTCTTTTATTTTACCACCACATGCTGCAGAACATCCAAGATGGTTTCACCAAACAGAAGTCGTACTTACCAAGTGCTCTGGCTACTGCCAGAAAGGGAATCTGGTCGATGACCGTGCTCCTCCTCACAGGTCCGTTGTGAGTGAGCCGAGGTCGTTTCCAAACCACACGGTTCACCCCAGACTTGTTCATCACGCTGAAAGACAAGAGTTCACAGAAACACACTAAGGGATCACAATATACCAACTCAAGTGGCTTCACAGGTTAAATAACTGTTACAATCAGATTATATTACCACAAAATGACGACTTATCTGCTTTGGACACGAAGATGCATAAACCAAAGTTCCTGTTCATAAGGCAAAGACAAAATAGGGTAGATGAAGATGAGAATTTGGAGATTATTTAGGGAGCACAGAGGAACAGAAATGAGTAAATAGCATACATATAAAAGCAAGATAAGTTGATAACTGAGAAAACTGAGGGGAGGAAGAAGTGGTTATAAAAGAAGAGGGAATACATAAAAGAAATTGAAAAGGTTGTATAGTGTCTTAAGGGTTTAAGGGTACTGAAAACAGAACTTCAGCTTTAGTATTTTTGATCTGAGGAATTAATAAGAAATGCCTCACTAGAAATACCTATGTATTTAGATACTTCTGTATTTAGAAATGTGAGACTAGACCTTGGAAACAGATCAGCTGCAGCGAGAGAGATCTGGAAGTTAGAGAACAAGAAAACCCTCCTAGAAATTTGGTGGAGGAGCAAGAGAAATCTGTAATTAATACACAGAGTAGTTAGTACACTCCAGGGTGCCTAACATATTGAAATATGATAAAAAATTTCAGCAAAAAAGTAATATTAAAAACACAGTAGAGATGGTCTCTCAACCTATGCCCGAATGACTGAAATGGGAAACTGGCCCTTAAATCAATTTAACCATAATCTGCCTGGAATGAAAAAAATAAATAAATAAAAGAAAAATGTTTCCTTGGAAGGTTTAAAATAGTTGAGGGGAAGAGTGGCAAAGAGCATTTCCAAGAAACAAATATTAGCCTGCCTGATGTTAGGTTTACCTGACGGATAGACACATGCATAACACCAGATTCCTGACTCTCAACGATAGATGACATTAAGGTTATCAAATTAAGTCTTTACACCCAGGTCCCACATGTACACTGAAAGCCTCTGATTATAGTCTGAAATTTCATTTCATCTATGGCAGGTTGGCTGACAATCATCTGTGGGCTTCTTGTCAGTAACTCTTCTCCTTATTAATGAGTACTATGACATCCTGATGTATACGTGAGTCTCTTAATAGTTTACTATGTTGACTGTGAGTAGCATGACTCTGTCCCCCTAAACTTGATGAACTCAGAAATTAGTGGCTTCCAGACATGCAAAGCAGACGACGGACAGATAATGGTGACCATCTCCAGAGGAATGTTGCTGAGAAACTCTGTGGAAGTCAACAGCAGCCAGCCGGTTCACCTCCATCACGGCTTTTCTACTGCTCTAACTTCAAAGGAATGAAGGTACTAGAGAGAAGAGATAACAAACGGAATAAAAGTTCTAACAGAAACAAAGGCATAAATATTTATAAATGAGAAAAAAATCTTCCTCTGAGCCCAGAGAAACATGAATATAGCAGAAGGAGAACAGCCTCAACCATCTTTCTAAAGCAGAAAACAAGCCTCATGAGACAAGGGCAGGCCAGGGGGCTTAAGTAGCGCTGTCTTACCAGACTTCCTACCAGACTTCCTGCCGTGATGGAAACGTTCACTCCTCACATTCTAACATGTAGCAGCCACCAGCCATGCCCAGCTACCGCGCTCTGTCACCGTAGCCAGGGCAAATGAGGAACTGAATTTTTAATTTAACTTTAATAAATTTATATTTAAGTTCAAACAGCCACATGGGGCTACAATAACCAGACAGAACAGGAGGGGAATGTAACAAGTGAAGAACATGGTAGAAAATTTGCTCAATGTTAACACAGAAGAGAAACATCCAGAGAGTTGCTCATTTACTCTCCCTTTTGAGAATTAATTTGTAATGCTGAAAGCAACATTGTTCCAGGTCACAGTAAGAGCCTTTTTTTTTTTTTTTGAGGCTGGAATTGCTTTTATTGGGGCGAGCGGGGCAGGCCCACCGTGGTCAGGTGAGTGTTCCGCCCTCGGAGGCAGCGAAGCCGGGCGCCTCCACGCGCCACCTCCCCGGGCGAGGGGAACACTCAGTCCGAGGGCGGAGGCGGGGGCGGAGGCGCCAGGGCCCCGGGGCAACGGGGCAGGAGCGGGAGGCACCGGCTGGGCCGCCCAGGCGGCGTCCCGACCCACTGGGGGCTGAGGCTCCCAGGGAAAGGCATGCAGGCAGCACCTGGCGGAGGGGTGCCCCGCAGGCCTCCGGAGGCAGAAGCCTACGGGGGCCACGCCGCAGCGGGCTGGCACACCTGAGCGCTGGGCAGTGGCAAGCCTTTCACCAGGAGGGTCTGTCTCCCACCCCAGGTCTGCATCCTTGGGGCCTGGGTGCGAACGTGCACACAGCAGGCACTTACTAGGGAGCTGAGGCTGGAGGGCTGAAGCCAGAGGCCTGGGCCGGCTGGGTCTGCTCGGGGACCTCGCCCTCCCAAGGGGAAGAGGCTTCCTGAGCAGCCCAGGGGACTAGGGACGCGCAGCCGCCCCCGCAAAGAGAGCGGGTCGGTCGTAGAGACAGTGGCCCTGCTCCTGGGGGCTTTGTCCGCTGCCCCAGCAGGTCGGGCTGGGGCTGGGGCTGGGTGGGGCTGGTCTACGGGGCTGGGGGAACCTCACCCAGATGGAAACCCCTGGGGAGACAGAGGGCTGAGTTGCGGGGCGGAAACTTTTTATTTTATGCTTTCTTCAAAGCTGACCCTCAAAGAGCAAACAGTAAAGACTAAATCTACCATTCATAGACTTCCCCTGGCAGTCCAGTGGTTACGACTGCTCTTCCAACGCAGAGAGCCTGGGTTCTATCCCTGGTCAGGGATCTAAGATCCCCCCGGCTGTGTGGTGTGACCAAAAAAAGAGAGAGAGACAAAAAAGTGTTTGTTGCTGTCCAAATCTTTGCTAATATCCAACCAAAACACCATTCACAAGAATCTATGAAACACAAGAGTTATGGGAAAAGAGATGCCAACATTCTGCCTTCTTAACAGCTTACGCCCTATAGCTCTTTCCTAAACCTGCTCCCTAAAAAGTCAGGCTTGCATGCGTGCCATGCTCAGTGGCTTCAGTCATGTCCAACTCTGCAAACCCTACAGACTGTAGCCCGTCAGGCTCCTCTGTCCACGGGATTCTCCAGACAAGAATACTGGAGTAGGTTGCCATGGCCTCCTCCAGGGGAACTTTCAGACCCAGGGATCAAACCTGTGGCACCTGCATTGTAGGCACGTTCTCTACCACTGAGCCACCAGGGAATCCCCATTAAGTAATTACAGGAGCTACCCACATTGCTTTCAAGATAACACTCCTAGGAACTCTCTTGACACGTAATATTCAAAGTTATTACGGTCTCCGTGTGGAAACACCAACAGAGGAACAAATGACAAAATAAGGGCAGTGGCTAAAACAAACTTTTACATCCAGTATCAAAAACCCAAAGCAATGCTGTAAAAGATGCTGTTTCTCTTCCACTTCCTGCCATTGTCCTGTGTGATTAAAAGGCATACACAAAGGATCAGCCTGATATGCAGGGGCTGACTGAGAAGCAACAGGAGGCTGGGAAAACAGAGCACTGGCCAGTTGCCTAGGGTGAGGACAGAAGGAAAGGAGGAAATGACTTATAACAAAACAGCTCAATTTGTGCAAAAAGACACCTGCTCTCAAATGGCAATGAGCTCGTCCAGCTGTCCAGATGGTATTTTAAGTAACAGCACAAAAACCATAAACTCAAAAAAAATAAATACAAATAACATAATTTAAAATTTCATAGAGAAAAATAAAGGAAAAATGAAGAAAAAGATTTTTTACAAGACTAATGAGAGGAATCAGGCCTACCAATATTAAAAACTATAATAAAGCCTTGATTTTAAAAAAATATGATACTGGTATGTAAGAACGCCCAAAAAAAGGTCCAAATGTTGGGTGGGCCAAAAAGTTCGTTCAGGTTCTGCCATAATATGATGATATGGGAAAACCTGAAGGAACTATTTTTGGGGGGCCAGCCCAACATATATGATTGCAAAGCTCACTTTGCACAACTACCAGTAGTGGTTTCAGATACATACTGACCTTCACACTTAATAGGACCTAATAAACTACAGCATGAAGCCAGGTTCACTTAACTTTATAGGATACAGGACAGGAAACACAGTCTGCCAGAACTGCAGCTCCAGTAGTGCCTTCAGCAGTGATCCTTACAGAAATCCAGGAGCCAATTTCCAGCCACCACAAGTGAGCTTCGTAGGCCACAGGAATCTGTGTCTCAAGAGCCCCTGACTTCCTGGTCCCCACATAAGTCCAACTACATGTACACAAGACAGCCAAGGTCCCTGCTTTCCAAGAGAAATCTGTGGTCCATAGACATCTTTCCTATCCACCTGCAGTTCCATTGGAGGATCCTTCTACAACAAGCAATGTTGCCTTGTAACAGAGTTGACATTCCATACTTATCTTAACCAGGGAAAGAGCGCTAAAAGAGGATAAACTCCAGGTCATCTTCCCACTATAGAAGAGTTTTATGCCTGATAAGCCTTCTAATCAGCAAGGAATGGCTGTGGAATTGTTCAAATGGCTACTGATGGCCAGTTAGAAAAAATATTAACTTGAATCCCTACTACACAACTTTAAAATTCCAGAGCTATAAGATTAAAATGTAAATGACAAAACCATACAAATACTAAAAAAGTGGCTCTTGAAATATGGTTCAGAGACCCCCCCCCAGGAGTCCCCCAGAGAATTTCAGGGGAATTAACTACAAGGTCAAAATTATTTTCCTAATAATACTCAGACCATGTGTATACAGTGGAGTTTTTCAACAGCTACAGAACTTGATATAGTGTATGATAAAAGATGTCAATATTTGGATGATCTGCATAACCTGGCTAACCAATATTTTACAAATGACCAATACCAGGTTTCAAAATCATGCACAGGGGCTATATACTTTATAATTCCAACTATGTGGCACTCTGGAAAAGGTAAAACTATGAAGATAATAAAAAAGACCAGCAGTTGCCCGAAATAGAAAGGGAGGAAGGGGAAAGCAGGCAGAGCACAGAAGATTCCTAGGACAGTGAAACTATTCTGTATGAAACTATAAAGGTAGACACACGTAGACACATCTGTCAAACCCTAGAACGTACAACACCAAAAGCAACCCAAATGTAAACTACTGACTTTGAGTGATGATGATGTGTCAATGTAGGGTCATCAATCCTAACAAATGAACCGGTCTGGGGAAGAGAGCTGATAGTGGAAGAGACTGGTCACCCCGAGGAGGCAGGGACTCCTGTACTTTCTGCTCAATTTTGCTATGAATCTAAAACTGCTCAAAAAATAAAAGTCTATTAAAAAGATCACGCATGGATAAAGATATTATTTAACCAATGGCTCTTAACTGATACACCAGTGGCTCTCAATGAAAGAATATAAAAAAGTTACTGATAAGATTTCAGACACCACATTATCGACTTTTAAGAAATTCCCTCTTCATGAATTTTAGAACAGTATCAAAGTAAAATACCCCCAAAATATGAAAAAGCTTTGAAAAGTCTCCCTTTCCACCTATATATCTATATAAAATCTGATTTTACTTTAGATACTGCAACCAAAATACCTTATCACAAGAGTCTGAATGCAGAAGCAAATATAAGAATCTAGCTGTCACCTACTAAGCCAGACAAGAAAGAGACTTACAAAACTGTAAAACAGTGCCAATCCTCTCAAATGTCTGTTTTGGGGAAACAGCTGTATTTTCATAAAAAAAATGTCCTTTATGTTAACACAAAATGAGCTTAATATTGCCATTTTTCAATAAATTAACAAATATTTGAAAACATCTCCATTTTAACGCCTAATATGGTTAAGTCAATACATCTGACCCATATAAACAAAAAAGCTCTTTGAGGGCCTCAATTTTTAAGAATGTAAAGTCTTCCTAAGACCAAAGTATTCATAACTGTTGTATGAGAAGAAAATATAGAAGACTTTTCAACAAGCTCAGAGTGAAGGAATTATATATATGGCACAAAAACCAAAAGTCATAACAGCAGACACTGATAAATTTAACTACATTAAAATAAACTTCCACATGGAAAAAAAATTCCAGGAGCAGAATCAAAAGACAAACTGTGAAAACACCTGAAATTCATCACATACATTAGTCTAATTTCTCTAATGTATATGTGGCTCCTATGTATTAATACAAAAAGAAGGCTGACTACTCTCCCCCGTAAATGAACAAAGATGATACACAAAAACACACAGAAAAGGAAGTCTATATGGCTTTTCAACAAGTAAAAAAAATTCAACTTTTCTCAGGATAAATTCAAATGAAAACATCACCACGATGACTTTTTTTTTAACCTATAACTGGTGATGATCAAAAAGTTCTATAATTATGTTGTCAGGGTCATTCACATATATTGCTGATAGAAGCATAAACTGGTACAACCTCCATAGAGACAAACAGTTACCAATGTAATTTTATATCCTGCTTATTGTGACCAACAAGCATTCTCCTATATTATTAAAAATTCCTGGCAGGGGAAAGGGGAATTGGTCAAAGGCACAAATTTCCAGTTATAAGATAAATAAGTACTATGGATGTAATGTACCACATGATGACTATAGTGAACACTGCTATATGATACACAGGAAAAGTTTTTATGACAATAAATCCTAAGGGTTCTCATCACAAGGAGAAATTTTTTCCCTTTATTTTTTCTCAATTTAAAAAAATTGTATCTATATGAGAAGATGGAGATTAGTTGAACCTATTGTGGTAATATTTCACAGTATAATTAAACTGAACCATCATGTAGTACGTTTTAAATCTACACAATGACATGTCAATTATCTCTCAGTGAAACAGGCAAAAAAAATGGTATATTTTTTTAAAATTCCTCATATGTATTGGAGGTCATTATACTAGTCTACCTTTACTTTTTTGTCTGTTCGTTCTGGCCGTGCCACGCAATTTGCAGGATCTTAGTTCCCTGAGGAGGGACTGAACCTAGGCCCTCAGCAATGAAAGTGCAGAGTCTTAACTACTGAACCACCAGGGAATTCCCTGACCTTTACTTAAATGTTTGAAAATTTTCATAACACCATGATTTTTAAAAATTTTGTTCACATCATATCCACTGTTATGAATATAATTAAATGTAATTAACCATTTTCCAGATGTTGGGCCTTCAAGTTATTTTCAGCTAAATTAACAGTCAATAAACACTGCTGCAAGCACTGTTTATAATAGCCAGGACATGGAAGCAACCTAGATGCCCATCAGCAGACGAATGGATGAGGAAGCTGTGGTACATATACACCATGGAATATTACTCAGCCATTAAAAAGAATTCATTTGAATCAGTTCTAATGAGATGGATGAAACTGGAGCCCATTATACAGAGCGAAGTAAGCCAGAAAGATAAAGACCATTACAGTATACTAACACATATATATGGAATTTAGAAAGATGGTAACGATAACCCTATATGCAAAACAGAAAAAGAGACTCAGATGTATAAAACAGACTTGTGGACTCTGTGGGAGAAGGCGAGGGTGGGATGTTTCAAGAGAACAGCATCGAAACACATATATTATCTAGGGTGGAACAGATCACCAGCCCAGGTTGGATGCATGAGACAAGTGCTCGGGCCTGGTTCACTAGGAAGACCCAGAGGGATCGGGTGGAGAGGGAGGTGGGAGGGGGGACCGGGATGGGGAATACATGTAAATCCATGGCTAATTCATTTCAATGTATGACAAAAACCACTGCAATGTTGTAAAGTAATTAGCCTCCAACTAATAAAAATAAATAAATAAACACTGCTGCAATCAATAACTCTATTTAGACATTTTGATTCACATTTCATGTTTCTTCTTTAGAGGAGATTCCTGAAATTACTCAGCCTATATACATTTAAAGTTAGTGGTATGTTGTATTTTGTATAGGTCATACCAATATATAATCCTAGCAACAGGATACCCATTACAATTAAAATATTGCTAACTCAATAACAAAAAATAGAACTTCACTTCATTGTTAAATATTTTTTCAAATGTTTCTACTACTGTTTTTAGTTTTTCCTGTCATTCAAACTTCTCCTTTATGCCATCTGAAGGTGGCAGAGTTTTACTGTTTCTCTTACTGATCTTTTGGAACTCTTGGTAGTTCAAGGATGTTAATTCTTTCCTTCAGCTTATTATTTCTCTGAAAAATATTTTCTTATTTAATAAAAACAAGAAAGGAGAAAAAAGTAACAATATTATGGTAAGACTTGAGTTAAATAATTATTTAGAAAACACTGCATTCTGTTTAACTTGCCTCAGATCCTTGATTTTTAAAAAATTAGTATTGGAATGATTTTTAAATTTTCTTACGTTATTCCTTCCTCTGCTTTTTAGAATAACCTTGCACTTTAGTTTGTATCATAAAAATACTATGCTTAAGTCAAATTCACTTCATCATCTACAAACTGTCTCAAAACACACTGAGAACGCAACACAGAGCTTTGTCGCGCGCATGACTTAGAGATCAAAGGGGAAAACTGAAAGCTAATTCCAACAAAATTCTATTCCCCAAAATAGATCAAATTGTTCTGTTCTGGAACTCTGAGGGCTGCTTTGTCCAGATTCTGAAGGGCATGCTGATTAGTGTTTATACAAAAGGCTTTAAATAAATCCTTGTATGTTTTGTTACTTGAGTGCCATTAAGATATTATTTCCCTTTGGAGCCATTTATCAGAAATAAATCGGTCAATTCAAAATAATAAAATAAACATGAATATACACGGATACTTTACCAGGCAAGCTAAAACTCTGTGACTTCATTAGAAGGGAGAAGTAGGTCAATGTGGTAAGTAAAGCGGAAAGGACTACACAGAACAGAGAGAGGAGAGGCAGGGCAGCAGTCATTACCTCCCACCAAGTCCTTCGATTCGCTCTCTCTCCTTGGGGAGTTCTGGCTTATGGTCCTGCGTCACCTCCACAGCTCGGATAAAATCATCCTTGGGGTCATCCTGGATTCCAAGAACCACCCCTGAGTCGCCCACGTGAGCAACATACATCTTCAAGCCTCGGATGATGACCACACTGGCAGTTGTCCCTGACGTGCTGGGAAGACCTGTCATTGTCTTTGGCCATTCTGCTGTAATAGAAAAGAAAAAATTTTACTTTCAGGTGTACACATAACTACTGTGGCAGAATAAAAACAGCAACTTATGTTGAATTAGCATGTTAAAATCTGAATTAGCACACAAAAATATTTAAGAAACATATTTTGAAAGCTATTAAAGAAGGACTTGTGTTAATCCCTTCATTCTTACATTAATAAATTAATTTTATAGATAATGCAATTATATTGTGACCATCAAGGCAATCTTAGGAGAAAAATGTTACATCATAGGTTTAGGAATTCCACGTAAGTCTTAGTCTTAACTACATTTAGTAGCAAGGATATGTTAAAGTTTTGATACCATACTGGCAGCAGCTTATCATCTACTTATATTAATTTTTCTTCAAAAAGATTTTCAGAAAAAGGTACTTGATTTGTTTTTAAAATAACTCTGCTGAATATTCCTAACCTAATAAATAACATTTACCAAGCACCTACTGGATACCACTTCCTAAGAGCTTTACCTGTATTATCTCATAACACTAACAATAAGCGAAGATCAGTTCCATTATTTTCATTTTGCAGATAAAGAAACCAAAACTTTGGTTAAGAAATTTGCTCAAAATAACTCAAGTATTTTAAGCAGCACAGATCCCATGTATCTAATTCCAAAACCTACACTGATTATATTCACTATCATTTAAAACTTCTGAAATATTCTATGAAATGAAGTGTTCAGTCGTGCCCAACTCTTTGCAACCCCATGGACTGCAGCCCACCAGACTCATCTGTCCACGGGATTTTCCAAGCAAGGATATTGGAGTGGGTTGCCATTTCCTTCTCCAGGAGATCATCCCAACCAAGGGATCGAACCCAGGTCTCCTGCACTACAGGCAGATTTTTTTATCAACTGAGCTACAAGAATGAAATATTCTGTAACATTAAACAAATTACAGTTCAAGATAGCAAACAAAGTCTGAACACTGACATATTCTCCCCACAAAATCCTACTGAAAGGACAGATTACAAATATTATGAAACACAGAGAAGGGTGATAAGAAAATCTGAGGAATTCCTGAAATTTTAAACAAACGGAACTGTATTGAGGGGGAAACTATCAGAATGCAAAATTTGTAATTCAACATGAGGAAAAAGCAGTAAGTAAAGAAGGCAGTACATCAGTATTCCCTGTTAACAGAGTTCCAGAAAAGTTCAAACTCAGAGGCAGCAGCGAAGGCTGAAGTAAGGAATGGATGGCGGAAGCTTGGTAGGTTCATTTAAAACTGTGGGAGCTAGGTTAGTGCCTAAACTCCCCACATGGTAAAAGGTGAAACATTTAAGTTCCTAAGATGTCAGTACTAACTACAGCGCGTGCATGCTAAGTTGCTTCGGTCATGTCCAACTCTTTGTGACCTATGGACTGTAGCCCACCATACTCCTCTGTCCAGGGATTCTCCAGGCAAGAATGCTGGAGTGAGCTGATATGCCCTCCTCCGGGGGATCTTCCCAATCCAGGTATCGAACCTCCATCTCTTATGTCTCCTGCACTGGCAGGTGGATTCTTTACCACTAGCACCACCTGGGAAGCCCCAGTACTAACTATAATAATCTCTTCTTTTTAATTAATTAACGTATTTTAACTGGAGGACAGTTACAATGTTGTGATGGTTCTGCCGCACATCAACATGAACCAACCGCAGGTACACATGTGTCCTCCCCACCCTGACCTCCCCTCCCACCTCCCCCCCAACCCTGTCCTCCTAGCTTGTCCCAGAGCGCTGACTGTGAGTGCCCTGCTTCATGCATCAAACTTGCACTGGTCATGTATTTTACACGTGGTAATGTGCATGTTTCAAAGCTATTCTCTCAAACCATCCCACCCTTGCCTTCTCCCACTGAGTCTACAAGTCTGTTCTTTACGTCTATGTCTCCTTTGCTGCCCGGCATGTAGGACCATCGGTACCATCTTCCTAAACTCCGTATGTATGCATTAATATACAGCATTTGTCTATCTCTGACTGACTTCACTCTGTGTAACAGGCTCCAGGTTCATCCACCTCATTAGAATTGACTCAAATGTGTTCCTTTTTATAGCTGAGTAATATTCCACTGTGTGTATGTACCACAACTTCCTCATCCACTCATCTGGCGATGGACATCTAGGCTGCTTCCATGTCCCAGCTATTGTAAATAGTGCTGCCATGAATACTGGGGTCATGTGTCTCTTTCAATTCTGCTATCTTTTAAGGAAAGTGGTGCATCTGCTGATGGGAACAATAGGATCTCAAAGGGGATGTGGGAGAAGAAATAAATTCCACCCCCGCCAAGTGGATGGGGTGCCACTCAACTTTTACAGCCATGAACCTCCTTAATATATCTAGGCTAACTAGTTCTTTTCTTTTCCAAAATTATATATGCTGAAAAGCCATCTCTTGAACTCTACAGTGCATCCCCCCGTCCCATCCCATCGTACGGTTGGAATCCATCCTCCAGAGTGACCTGTCACCCACAACAGAGGGCTTCTTGCGGCACAGGAAATAACTGCTGAGGGAAACCAGAACAGCTACCAATATTGATGAAGCCAGAAATTCATGTGCATGTACCACATACACATGTAAAACCATCTGCAACAGTACAGACACATAGTAAGTATTCAATAAACATTGGTTTGCGGGTTTCTCTGGTGGCTCTGTAGTTAAGAACCTGTCTGCTAACGCAGGACCATGGGTTCGATTCCTGGCCCGCCCAGGAAGATCCCAGAGGCCACAGAGCAACTAATCTCTGTGAGCCCCAACTACAAAACCTGTGCTCTGGAGACTGGGAGCCATAGCCACGGAAGCCCGAGAGCCTGTGTTCAGACACAGGAGAAGCCACTGCAGTGAGAAGCCCTCACTCACCACAGCTAGAGAAAAAGTCCGCACCGCTACAAAGACCCAGCAGAGTCAAAAATAAAATAAATAAAATCTTAAAACATTAGTTTTTGTTATTACCATTATGTATTTAAGAAAAAAGCAAACAGCCTGAGAGACACCAAGTGGAGTTGCCAAAAAAAAAATAAAAGCCCCGAAGAAAACAGTTGTGGCTAGATTGCTGGCACTGATAAAGTTCAATAAAGTCAATGAATATAAATACTTATATAAAATATCAATTCTATTTCTGTAAAATAGAAAAAATAAAAAAATTTTTAAAAATAGAAAATAGAAAAAAATTACAAAATGTAACTTAAAAAAAAAGATCTCATCCACAGTAACAGCAAAAGGTGTGAAATATCTGGGAACAATGCTAACAAATCTCTAGTAAGACATTTCTGGAAAAGTAGTAAACCAGTGAACAAATAAAACAGCACAGAAACAGATCCATGCATATTTAGATACTTGATATATGAACAGTGGAGAAAAGATAGACATGCAATAAATGGAACTGGGACAAAATTTAAAAAATAGTAACTCTGAGTTCCTGATGCCAAACACAAAAAATCGATTCCAGGTACATTAAAGACCTAACATGAGGGACTTCTCTGGTGGTGCAGTGGATAGGAATCTGCCTGCCAATGCAGGGGACACGAGTTCAATTCCTGCTCCTGGAACTGAGTCGGGCAACTAACCCCATGCACCGCAACTCCTGAGGCTGCAGGCCCTAGAGCCCGTGCTCAGAACCCACCACAAGGAGAAGCCTGCACACCGCGACTAGAGAGCAGCCCCTGCTCGCTGCAACTAGAGAAAGTCTCAGTGCAGCAACGAAGGCCCAGCAAAGCCAAAATAAATTAATTTTTCAAAAGAGACCCAACGTGAAAAGCAAAGCTAAAATGCTCAGAAAATGCACAAAACGGTACATTCATGATCTCAAGGTAAAGAAGGATTTCCTAAAGACAAAAAAATGGATTAGCCATATAAAATGATTGTGAAGTTGTACTACCACCAAGAGTTTCTATTCATTAAAAGATACTAGAGTGAAAAGACAACTCACAGAATGGAAGAGGATATATTTGTAACATATATAGGTCAAAGGAATAGTATCCAGAATACATAAAACACTCCAACAAATCAAATCAATAAGACTACTCAACAGAAAAACAGATAAAAAGCCTAAACAGGCTTTGACAAAGGAGGAGATGCAGACAGTCAAAAAGCATGCAGAGATGTTTGGCTTCTTTAATCATCAGGGAAATACAAATTAAAAGCCACAATGAGATACCACACATAATTATCAGATTGCATAAAGTTTGACAATAGCAAGTTAAGAATGTGGAATAACATGTTCTATCATCAACTACTGGTAGGAGTATGAACTGGTACAACTACTTTAGAAAACATCTTATGCATTATATGGTAAAGGTGAAGATGGGCATACTCTGACTATTCACTTGGTATACACTAGAAATTAATGCACATGTGCACACAATACCTATGAATGTTCATAGCGCACTGTTCATCTGGACTTAAAATGAGCAACAACTCAAATGTCCTTCAAAATAACAACAGATTACACTACACACCATGGGTAAGAATCTCACAAGACGCATGAGATAAAAAAATACAGCATGATTTTCTTCAGGAGAAAAAAAAACTATCATGTTTACAGGCAACAGGCAAAACTATTAAGAAAAATAAGTAAATCACTACAGAACTATAATCACAAAAGTCAAGATCCTGGTTGCCCCTTGGGGGGAAGCAAGGAATATGAGATCAGAAGGGCCCTACTGGGATGCAGGCTATGTTCTCTTTCTTAACTAGATGGTGTTTATTTGTACATTTATGTTTTATGGCCTTTTATGTATGCATGCTATATTTCATGGGTTTTTTTTTTTTAAGTTAAAAGAAAAAAAGTAGCAGGAAAAAGGCATCAATTCTGCAAACATGGATTCCAGGAGACAGCTCTATAGACCATGCAGTTTTGCAGTTTGGTTATAGACATCATTCCTTATAAGTTCAGCCTAGAGTATGGTGTATGTTTCTTCAACCCTTATTTTATGGCTCTAGGTAAAACCTTTCCTTTTTTTTTTTTTAAAGAAACTGGAAAAGAGTGTTTTCTGCAGCTAAATATAATGAGA